ATCCTCGGCTCCCTTGTACTGCATCAGCATGTTGATCTGGGGACACGGGGACACGGGGACATGGCAGGACATCAGGACATGGGGACACGGGGACACGGGGACATGGCAGACCATCAGGACATGGGGACACGGGGACATGGCAGGACATGGCAGGCCATCAGGACATGGGGACACGGGGACATGGCAGGCCATCAGGACACAGGGACATGGCAGGACATCCCTGTTCTCCCACCCAAGGCCATGTCCCCATGCTATCCCTGCCATGTCCCTGCAGTGTCCCCACTCTGTCCCCTCACTGTCCCCACGCTGTCCCCACGCTGTCCCCTCACTGTACCCACGCTGTCCCCACGCTGTCCCCGCTCTGTCCCTGCAGTGTCCTCACTCTGTCCCCGCTCTGTCCCCGCTTTGTCCCCACGCTGTCCCCACTCTGTCCCCACGCTGTCCCTGCAGTGTCCCCACTCTGTCCCCACTCTGTCCCCAGTGTCCCCACTCAGTCCCCAGTGTCCCCGCACTGTCCCCACGCTATCTCCGCTCTGTCCCCACTCTGTCCCCAGTGTCCCCACGCTGTCCCCGCTTTGTCCCCACTCTGTCCCCACGCTGTCTCCACTCTATCCCTGCTCTGTCCCCATTCTGTCCCCAGTGTCCCCACGCTGTCCCTGCTTTGTCCCCGCTCTGTCCCCACTCTGTCCCCGCTTTGTCCCCACGCTGTCCCCACTCTGTCCCCACGCTGTCCCTGCAGTGTCCCCACTCTGTCCCCACTCTGTCCCGTGTCCCCACTCAGTCCCCAGTGTCCCCACGCTGTCCCCGCTTTGTCCCCACTCTGTCCCCACGCTGTCCCCACGCTGTCCCCACGCTGTCTCCACTCTGTCCCTGCTCTGTCCCCATTCTGTCCCCAGTGTCTCCACGCTGTCCCTGCTTTGTCCCCGCTCTGTCCCCAGTGTCCCCACGCTGTCCCTGCTTTGTCCCCGCTCTGTCCCCACTCTGTCCCCACGCTGTCCCCACTCTGTCCCCACGCTGTCCCTGCAGTGTCCCCGCTCTGTCCCCACTCTGTCCCGTGTCCCCACTCAGTCCCCAGTGTCCCCACGCTGTCCCCACTTTGTCCCCACTCTGTCCCCACGCTGTCTCCACTCTGTCCCTGCTCTGTCCCCATTCTGTCCCCAGTGTCCCCCCGCTGTCCCCGCTTTGTCCCCACTCTGTCCCCAGTGTCCCCACACTGTCCCCACGCTGTCCCCGCAGTGTCCCCGCTCTGTCCCCACTCTGTCCCCACTCTGTTCCCACTTTGTCCCCACTCTGTCCTCCTGCTGTCCCTGCAGTGTCCCTGCAGTGTCCCCACTGTGTCCCCCGCTGTCCTCACCTGCTCCTGCGGGGGCGAGCGGAACTCGCGGGTGCGCCGGGCGGTCTCCGCGGCCGACATGGTCAGCGCCCGCATCAGGCGGCCGTAGCGGC